GTGGATCCGCAGCGGGCGGCATCAAATAACATGTTGCAAGAGTCAGTTATACAGACGCATTGGCCACTGGGCGCAAATACCTCAAGGTGAGGAGGAATATGTTACACTACCCCCCACCTAAAGACCACCCACCGGACGGGAAGTACCAGGCTTGAGAGGAAATTTGTCATGGAAAGAACGAATTTTGCAGCCAGCATGGATGTCAGAGGCCGGAACCCAAGAACGTTCAGCAGGCCCATACCCCCCCAATCAACCAAATACTGTAAGGTGCCACGAGAAAACCTGGAATCAATTATGGAGGAGATCTTATATTCCTCCTGTCCAGAAACAACCAATGGAGGAGGAGGAACACTTGGGACAGTATATCTATTGCAAACAAGTGGTTTGAGCAAGGAGATATGAAAGGTGTTGGGAATACGCAAAGAGGCAGGTGGCCAATGTAGGACAGCTTCAAGTTTCTGAGAGTCCATCTGAAATCCAGAGGCAGAAATGTTATACCCTAAAAACTGTACTTCTGTTTGATCAAAGATGCATTTTTCCAGTTTACAACAAAGTTGATTTTTTTAGTAAGGTTTGCAACACTTGTTTGACATGTTCGTGGTGAGTCTGAAGGTCAGGGGAATAAATAAGGATATCATCTAGATAGACTAATACAAATGAATAAATATAATCCCTGAGTACATCATTAATAAAATCTTGGAACACAGCCGGAGAGCATTACACAACCCAAAGGGCATCACAAGGTACTCATATTGCCCATTTCTGGTATTAAATGCAGTTTTCCACTCGTGGTTTTCCTTAATCCTTACCAAATTGTACGCACGTCTAAGGTCAAGTTTGGTTAAGACTTTAGCCCTCTGAAGTCTGTCAAACAATTCGGAAATAAGGGGAATGGGGTAGGCATTTTTAATGGGGATTTTGTTCAATGCATGGACGTAACTCACCATCTTTTTTAGATACAAAAAAGAATCCTGCACCAGCTGGCGAGGATGATTTATGTATATGGCCCTTACTAAGGGAGTCTTTGATATACTCCTTCATTATTGTACTCTCCTGTGGAGCTGACGCATATACTGCTCCCTTGGGTGGCATAGCGCCGGGCAGCAGGTTTATGGAACAGTCATATGTTCTGTGAGGAGGTAGAATATTGGTCTGAGTTTTGTTAAATACCTCCTTAACTTCCCAGTATTATTTGGGAACTTTGGAGGTTTGAGGCAGTAGTGTGTAATGTAATGATGCCCGCTCTCTTGGTAATGTGTAACATTCACCTCACAGTGCAATCCTTGCCTCATTCCAGTATTTCTCCATTAGTCCAGTCAATATGAGGATTGTGCTTAGTAAGCAGAGGAAAGGCTAATATGATGGGGCAAGAAGGAGAAACAATAACTTGAAAAGTTCTGTGTTCCTTGTGTGAGGCACAAATGGAAATGTTAATGGCAAGGTTTCGTGGGTAATTAAGGGTTGAGAGAGTGGTCTCCCATCAATAGCCTCAACGGCCAAGGGTGATAGTCTCTCCTTGATAGGTATAGTATATTTTTTTTAACAAAATGTACATCAATGAAGTTTCTTGGTGGAACTGAGTCTATCAGGGTCATGAAAAGTTCTTCTTGTTACATTTAATCTTTATATCAAGGAGGAATCTACTTTTGTTATTCCCAGAGGGCGTATCCATTACACCTAAGACCTGTCCCCCTAAAGTTCTTAGGTGAGGAAGTTTTCCGAAAGTATGGGACAAGGACTCCTCATATGTCCTCTTCTACCGCAGTATAGACATAGACCCGCCATTCTCCTATATTGTCTTACTGCCTCTGACAGTCTAGTGACCCCTAACTGCATTGGTTCGGGTTCGGACTGAACAGGAAGATCAGGAACAATAGGTCTAGTGACATAGCCATACATCTAGTTCTATTAGTTTCTCTGGTTCTTAATCTATTATCAATTTGCATGACAAATGTTATAAACTCATTTAAGTTTTTAGGTAGATCTTTGGCAGCAATCTCGTCCAGAATTGCTTCGGACAATCCTTTTTTAAAAGCAGAGATCAACCCGCTATTAATCCAGTCTACCTCAGACGCCAAGATGCAAAATTATATGGCATAATCTGAGATAGACCAGTTCCCTTGTTTTATATGCATTAGGACAATGGAGGTGTCATCCTCCCTGCCTAAGGGTTTGAATGTTAATTTGAATTCCGCAAGGAATTCCTGGTCGTTGTGTGCGATACTCCTATTACTCTCCCATAATGGATTGGCCCAAGCTAAGGCTTTACCTTTAAGTTGATTCATTAGGTAACCAATCTTAGCTCTATCCGAGGGAAACGATCCTGGTGAGGCCTCAAAATGATACTCAATTTGATTTAGGAATCCCCGGCATTCTTGAATATTTCCATCAAAATGCAGGAGAGAAGATAGGGAGATAGTAGGTGCCTAATGTACTATAGGTGGACACAGTTGGAGAAGCCGCAGGTTGCAGATGCGCTGTGCGAGTAAGAAGCATACTGAAATCCATGTCAGAATTACTAATTGATCCAGCACATAGAATTGTGTCACACCTAGGACTAAAAGGTAACGTATTACCGGGTCTTAGAATGGCCGGACTTAACGCACCAAAGAATAATCAGGATACTCTCCCACGTGACGTCACGCGGACGCCGTCGTTGTCATTAACATGGGCGGAAGTGGGGGTATAATTTGGCGTGGAACCGCAGCAGCCAGCGTCCATTCACATGTTGCAAGAGTCAGTTATACAGACGCATGGCCGCTGGGCATGAATACCACAAGGTGAGGAGGAATATGTTACACTTTCATCAGAACAGCATCCTGATGCTGTCCTGACAAAAGTTCCTGTATGGAACTAGGGAACTGAAATGTTGACTGACCTTTATGGTATCTGAGCAATAAAGCTGAAAAATCCTTGGAAATCCTTGGAGTGCTGGTATTTCTGTGAAATGTTTTTTATATATATATATATATATATATATATATATATATATATATATATATATATATATATATATATATATATATATATATATATATATATACACACATACTATGTTTAACTTCCCCTTCACCTTGCCTACCTTTTCACAAGGAGAGAAAATGAATCTTTTGCCTCTGTCTCCATTTCAGTGTTGCCATCATAACCTACGGAAATCTCAGAAAAGCATCTGAGTGGGAGGATGGTTTTCCTGTGGTGGTTGCCCTTGCTTGTTGCAGACCACAGGCTCCCACACATTCTCAGCAAAGCTCTCGAGATAGGCTGGTGAGATCCAAGGATCTCCACAACTAGCCCACGTGGGTCTGGCAACCACGCATGCCATACATAGCATGTAGTATTTCACGGGTTAAATTTCACGGGTTAAATTTCACAGGAAAAATCAACTAGTAACTTTAAATTTAAATTTTGTTTTATATCTAAAAGTATATGTGAGATAAACAGCTAGCTGTCCTGAGCAATTACTATAGCTGACAATGTTTTACCTTGTTTGCATTCTGAAGGGTTTAGGTTTCTATCAATACACGTAACAAGTGTACTGCTGCTGTGGTTTCGGTTCTCTGGAGAATGTGAAAGAGCTCCATTTGGACAGATCTTGGACAACAAAAAAACATACATTTTATGCTCTGACATCTATTATTCTGGGGAGATTTTTAATCTGCAGTTAACAACAAAAGGAACCAATCACTTCAGCGAATTGTCAGGTTATAAAATCAGCTTTAACAAGTCATTTGCTGTGCCCTTCCATGTGTCAAATCAGGAAGTAGCTCATTTGAGGTCAAAGTTTGGCATATCCTTCGGCCCTTGCTATTGCTATCTGGAAATCCAGACTGACTCCTCTCACTCTCAATTGTTCACAGACAACTATACACCCATCTTCAGACCCTGAAAAAGGGAACTGGGGAATTGGCAGGACAAGCTCATTTCTTGTACATGGAGGATCCACTGTATTAAAATTAATATTCTCCCAGGCTTCTATTTCTATTCAAGGCCTTACCTATTAGGGTGACAAGGGATGTCCTTAACAGTTTAGAGAAAATGATTAATACTTTCATATGGAAGAAAAAGAGAAATCGACTGGCTAGAAACTTACTATATAGACCTAAGTCTAAGGCAAGCATGTCAAACTCAAAGTCTAGCATGGGCCACATAAACAAGGTTTAAGTTTATGTGGGTCGCAAAAAAAACACAAAACATTAAATTTTCATAGAAACGCAGGTTTATTTTGAAAATTACAGTATTTAAAAAAAAAAAAACAGCTTGCCCCTCTACTAAATCCCAGTCCCCCCTCTACTAAACCCCTAGTCCCCCCTCTACTATATCCCAGTTCCCCCATATACTAAATCCCAGTCCTCCCCCTTTACTTACTCCCAGTCCCCCCCATATACTAAATCCCAGCACCCCCCTCTAGCCAACAAGCAGACTCCACTCACATTGCCGCTGCCAGTATGTGACTCCAGAGTCCGGCCTCTGGTATAACCCAAATGGCGCCGTCTGCACCCTGTGCCAAATCTGATCCTCCCGCTACTTCTTGAAACCCTGTGAAGGTGGAGCATGTTGATGTCACGTCGGAATGTGACGTGGCGTTGCGTGCCTCCATGCACCTCCAGGTACTCCACTGTCCAGTCGCAGCCAATGCAACACTGACCCATACACACAGACACTGACAGACACACACACCAACTGACAGACACATACACACACTCAGACACTCACAGACAGACAGACACACACACTGACAGACACAGACACACTCACAGACAGACACACACACAGACAGACACACTCACTGACAAACACACACACGCACTGACAGACACTCACCGACAGACACACACACTTACACATTCTTGCACACACATACTTTACTTTATTGCTCCCTACCTTTTGGAGCTAATGAGGGGCATCTGCCTGGTGTCCTTCTATATGCTCCCTCGTGTGGTTTAGTGATGCCGGGTGCCGGAATATGTCGTCATGTTCCAGCGCCCGGCTTCACTACAGATGGCACACGTGAGGGAGCAGTGAGGAGCAAGAACACTGAGCTCCCTCGCTGGCCCTCCTTCCCTGCCGGGTAAGTTTTAGCAGAGTGGGCACATGTAATGTGGGGAAAGCGGTGCCTACTCTGCTATAACACTGAGCATGTACTTGCGACTCGCCGGGCCGCAAAGATGTCCCTTGTGGGCTGCGAGTTTGACATGCTTGGTCTAAGGGTACCTTGATTTCCATAATCTCATCTTATATTATTATGCTGCACAACTCTCCCAGATGGTGATGTGGCATGCTCCCCCTGGTGAAAGGAGATGGGTGGTTCTAGAGGCTGGCACATTGAGATCAGACTTATCGTCTTTCTATATGTTCTTGGACAGATCCTCAAGGGCTATACTCCTGTCCTTCCATCCTTAACTACTTAACCATATGGGATGTGAGTGAGGGACAAATACGTGTTAGCTAGTAGCCCTTCCCCGATGTCTCCAGTCCTAGGTAATAGAAAGTTCCCTTTGGGCAGGAGGCCGCATGACTTTCACAATATCTAAATACACAACTTTGTGAATTCATCAGGCATACAGGAAGCTGTGGCAGCTCCCCTCACAACATATGAGCATCTCTGCAATATGGTAGAATATCGAAAAGGCCTAATTTCTTTGAACACATTTATGCGCAGATCGCTTGCTATGGAGAGTGTTGAAGTACATCGATCACTAGGAGACAGACTTAGGACCACTATAGGCATCCAGACCACTTCAGCTCAATTAAGTGGTCTGGGAGCCAGGTCCATCTAGGGTCTGGGAGCCAGGTCCATCAATAGGGTTAATCTAGCCTCTAGTGGCTGTCTCATTGACAGCCGCTAGAGGCGCTTCCGCGCTTTTCACTGTGAAAGTCACAGTGAGAAGATGCTGTCGTCCATAGAAAAGCATTGAGTAATGCTTTCCTATGGACTGATTGAATGCGCGCGCGGCTCTTGTCGCGCATGCGAATTCGGATGATGACGTCGGAAGAGGGAGGAGAGTCCCCAGCGCTGAGGGAGTCCAGCGCTGGAGAAAGGTAAGAATTTAACCCCTTCCTCCCCCTTCAGCCCGGCGGAAGTGGGACCCTGAAGGTGGGGGGGACAAGTTTGTTTTCCTGGCACTGTAGCGGTGCTTTAAGGATTACTAGGAACATTTAATAACATATTTTAAGTACATGTTTAAGATTTAGTTGAATGGATTATTGGTGAGGTGCAATGTGTTTATGCATTGCGATACAAATGCTATTTTTGAATTATAATTTTAATTCATTCATAGAGATTAATGTGGCTCTGTCACCTCAAACTTACCTTTCTCCTATTGTTTCCTCTTCTCTTTCTCTTTCCCAATCTGTTCTTCTTTTCTTCATTTCTGCTCTATTTTTCTTTAAAACATAAGACAGAGTAGGGATTACTTTGTTTTATGTATTTTTTCCTACCTTATGTCACTGCCAGCAATTAGAAGATGGTTGCACCGGCAATGAGGATCGGGTGTTGTGGAGAGGAGCGCAATTAAGGTGAAGGGGGTTGGGTTCCTCTACTGCAAGTGTGGCCAATAAGTAGGTACCCATCAATTCCAATGATGCCATAACAGCTAGGGATCTACCATTTGCCCATCCTTGCAGGATTGTATTTGTGAACATTGTTTCTGCGTTTGAATGTAAGCATGTTTTTCTATAGAGTATAAATGTGCATGAAGGTGTATATTTGTATGCAGGGGTGTGTTTGTATATAGTGTTGGCTTTTAAATACTGCTGTGCTTTTTAGTGTAGTGTTGGCCTTTGAATGAAGGGGTGTTTGTATATAATTTTAGTGTTTTAATACAGGGGTTACATGGACACATGTAACACACACAAACAAGCATACAACATACACACAAATTCATATACACAATGACACATACACAGGGATACACACACTGACATATACACACACCTTGACCACATGGACAAGTCCAGAATTTACCAATACAATTTTTTTTGTTTGGATGAATTGATTCTATTTTTTTTTTTTGCTGTACAGAAGTCTGCTGTGTACTCTGTATGTTAAAATTATACTTACTGTGCATCATTATACATACATACGGAGTATTGGATCGTTTTAATTTAACTGGTATTTTCACACCTATTTTATAAGACAAAAATGATGTTTCTGCTTATATGTTGTTGTTTGTATGTCATTTCTTATTCTGCCAGAGTATGATTTCTGTCAGCTTAATGACAGAAATTCTAAATTTTCTGTGTTTATGTGGACAGTGATTTATGGAATAAGCAATCCTCTCACAGACAGGTATGTGAGAGGCTTTTATATGATGGGAGGGGGCGTTGTCTGCTTCTGGTTACATTACATTGACACAAGCAGCAAAGAGTTTAAATATAGCTCTTTTTATTTTATTTTTTTCTTGCATATTCTAATACATTCTCTATATAATGCAGGGCTTGACAAATTTGCTTTGAATCTATGAGCCAGATAAAAAAGTTAGGAGCCAGATTTTTTTTTTAAACTAACAAAACTAAATTCTTAAAGAGACACTATAGTCACCAAAACCACTACAGCTTAATGTAGTGGTTCTGGAGTCTTTAGCCTGTCCATGCAGGCTTTTCAACAGACAGTGTTAGCATTGCTGCCTAGTAACAACTCTAGCGACAGTGACTCATACTTCCTTGTCATATGTTCACCATCTCCACGCTCTGCATGAAGGAGTTGAACATTTCCACAGAGATGCATTGATTCAAGCATCTCTATGAGGAGATCTTAATTAGTGTAGTGCAGCATTTTGCTGCGCATGCGCAATAGCCTCTCAATACTTTCCTATGGGAAAGCATGTGATTGGATGAGATCATCATGATCTCAGCCATGGAGGTGGGGCTAGCCACAGCAAGACTGGCACATCATGGGGAAAAAATACCTTTCCCGAGCATTCGGAGGGGGTCCTGTTACCTAAACAGAAACACTTACTGACAGACAAACAGTCCCTGGCAGACATACACACATTCTCTCCTGTCCCTGGGTTTCAATTTCGCTTCTGTGATCCTGTCATCTTCTTGTTCAGCTCCCTCACAGGCTGTTTAGTGTTTAGTGCCGGAGTGACATCATATTTCAGCTTCCGCATCACAGCAGGGCATGCAAGGGAGCAGTGCTGGAAGAGCAGGAAAATTTCAGCTCCCTCGCCGCCCTCCATCATTGCTCACAGCTGCCCATCTCAGAAGGGGAACCTAAGGTGGCCAGCCTTGGATTTGTTGAGCCCTAATATAATCTGTTAAAATGAGAGTCTCACTGTGATAGAAACATAGAATGTGATGGCAGATAAGAACCATTCGGTCCATCTAGTCTGCCCAGTTTTCTAAATACTTTCATTAGTCCCTAGCCTTATCTTGGATAGTCTTATGCCTATCCCACGCATGATTAAACTCCTTTACTGTGTTAACCTCTACCACTTCAGCTGGAAGGCTATTCCATGCATCCACTACCCTCTCAGTAAAGTAATACTTCCTGATATTATTTTTAAACCTTTGCCCCTCTAATTTAAGACTATGTCCTCTTGTTGTGGTAGTTTGTTTTCTTTTAAATATAGTCTCCTGCTTTACTGTGTTGATTCCCTTTATGTATTTAAATATTTCTCTAGCATATCCCTTTAATGGGAACATAGCGGCTGCAGCAGGCATGCACACGTTAGTAAAGACCAGAACAGTACTAGTGATATAGCTACATGTGGTTCTAATGGGCTTGAAAAAAAGACAGTCCTCTAAAAACATGGTGCACAGTTATCTGATGTGTGGTAGTACTCTACCTCTGTACAAATTGCACGATTTTCATCTGTATTACTATCAAGTTGTGATGCCCCATGCTCATAAATGCCATTGGAAGCTGCATTCAAATACCTGTATAAGGTGGTGGCACCTGGTGTCTTCTCCTAGGTATGAGAAGGTTGTGGCACAGTGTGTCCCCTTAGTGGAGCTTTTGCTCAGGTGCTGTCATAGACCATGGACTGGATGTGGGTCAGAAAAATTAAACAGAAGACATTATATTGACAAAAGTATTGGGACCAATCTCTTAATTATTGAATTCAGGTGTTTCAATCAGACCTATTGCCATGGGTGTATAAAATCAAGCACCTAACCATGCAGTCTACATTTACAAACATTTGTGAACAAAATGGGTTGATCTGAAGAGCTCATTGAATTTAAGTGTGGTACTGTGATAGGATGGCAGCTACTTTGCAATAAGTCAGTATGTGAAATTTCACCCCGGCTAGATATTTAATGGTTAACTGTGGTAATATGGGATAAGTTGAAGTGTTTAGGAACAGCAGCAACTCACCCACAAAGCAGAAGACCACATAAAGTTACAGAGCGGGGTCACTGAGTGCTGAGGTGCATTGTATGTAAAAAACGCCAACGCTCTGCTGATTTCATAGCTGCAGAGTTCCAAGCTTCCACTGGCACTAATATCAACACATAAACTGTGTGGTAGGAGATTCATGGAATGGGTTTCAATAGTCGAGCAGCTGCATGCAAGCCTCACATCACCATGAACACTCCGATTGAGTGGTGAAAAGCATGCCACCACTTGACCCTGGAGCAGTGGAAACATGTTCTGTGGGGTGATGAATCACACATCTCTGTTTGGCAGTCTGACGTAGATGTCAGAATTTGGCGGATGCTGGGAGAACGCTACCTGCCTGACTGCATAGTGCCATAAGTTTGGTGTAGGAGGAATAATGGTATGGGGCTGTTTTTCAGGGATTGGGCTTGGCCCCTTACTTTTTTTAAATTCTTT